GCTTTATAACTCTTTTGAGTTGTGAGGTTTGCTTCCGCACGTCAGAGTGATAAACCACTGGCACAGGTTGCCCAGCGAGGTGGTAGATGCCCCATCCTTGGAAACATTCCAGCTCAGGTTGGACGGGGCTCTGAGCAACATGATCTAGTGGAAGATGTCCCTGCTCATTGCAGGGGGGTTGGACCAGATGACCATTAAAGGTGTCTTCCAACCCAAACTATTCTATGGTCATCCCTCCCAGATATTAAATATTTCTGAAGTATTTCTAAGATGGTCCATGACCTTTAAAAGAAAGCTTTAGTTGTCTTAAAAGCTGTAACTGCAGTCAACAAGTAAGAAAACCTACTTGCTTTTTCTGCCACTTCGTGAATCTGTGGTTGATGAACTTAATGTCTGTGTTAATGTAGATGCCAGAGCTGATGATGAATATCCAGTTGAATCTCTGGATAACGAAAATTCTCTTCCAAGCTGAAAATCATTGTTCTTAAATGCTTCATAGCTGGCTTTTAGACTGGATGTTCGTCTTCCTTCCTTCATCTAAAAAGAAATACTGATATTGTATCAGATTACACAGTGGAGCTCTTAGAGAAGACATACCAGGCTGCTAACTGCTAATTATTTGTACAGGTTCATTAGTTACTCTGTTAACAAAATGATGTATGGTAAGTGGTAAAAGTAAGAATATACCACAGGAAAAGCTAGAAAACAAGCTGTCCCTGTATGCAAGTTTTACAGGATAAAACTGTAGCATATAAACAAAAATGATGAGAACTGAATCACATCAACTGAAAGTGATCATGGGAACTAAAAAAAATAAATCACTAGTCCTTCTTCTTAATCAATAGCTGATGGCAGAACGACAAGAATGTTTTGACATTACCTGTGCCGTGGCTTGCACTGCTTGAGCTGCTGCCATGGTAATTGCACCGGCCCCAGATCCTGAAGATAATGAGCCCAGGTTATATGATGCCAATGGTTGAGAAGAGTTTGTATTGTATGCATTGTTTGAAGAGGATGATGAATTACTGTTTCGACACCCTTGATGAACAGAACACATTTATGAAATTCAAAATGAAACTAAAATCCTTTGCATTTTAAGAAGTTATATATGACAACCAGTGAAAGAGTAGGAACTCCGTTTATGCATCAGAGCAGTCTGATCATTTGGAAAAAAGTTTAAAAAGTCATTTGACACAGCCACTACTGGCTTAATAAACAAACAAGTTTGTTCCCCACCTATCCTCATGTGCAAAGGAGTCCTTTTAGAAAGACAGTCCTCTATGATATTCAGCTATCAAAGAACAGATGCAGCTGCTATGTCTACACCTATGTCTATACAAACCCACTTTCCGTTGAAATGATCCTGACTACTGTAACCATAAAGAAGAGAGTAAGAATTTGACTGTACACCTATACTGTTTCTAAAAAACTTTTAACAATCTTAATTCTAAAAACTACAAGCCACCATCTTAACACAACACAGATTTCCATGGCCATCTACAGACTGACAACTGCTCAAACATAGTTACATTTTATTTGCCATCTCAGGTAAATTCCTTCAAAAGAAAGTGGCTATGAGGGAGAGTGCTTAAAACTGATGAACAGCATTAAATTCCAAAACATAAAGTAGTTTGCTTGCTACAACCTCTCACAATCTTTTATTTTTAGAAAAGAAACTATGAAACATCCTAATTTTGATAATGGGCAGAAAGTTGTGGGGATTTTACTATTTACTACAGAAAAAGACTTCTCACCTCTTTTGAAACAGACAACACACAAAAACATTTACTTTATTGTAGCTAAATGCCACATTAGACCAACCCCTGAAAACACCTGTGAACATTCTTTTCCCTTACTTTGGAAATTGCTGCATGCGTTTCTTTTTCCCAAAAACAATAATGCATTATCCTCTCATACTTTTACGACTGGCTGAATGAAACTGTACTGTTATCTTTTTCCAAGCAGTGTAAATAAAAAGAAAAACCCAAGATGCAGCTGTTAAATGACAACAAAACTGATGCGCTTCATGGACAACACAGATGAGTAACAATGCCTGCAATTTCTCATGTTTCAAATGACTGAAAATCCCTGAGGAAAGGGTATGTGTCTCTGATTTCAAAAGAAAATAATTGACAAATATTCTTCCAATTAAAAAGCAATAAAATGCAAGACAAGTAAGATTACCTGGTGTATTTTCTTTAGAAGCATCTGAAGTCAGGGTAGATAGAAGAGCTTCAGATTTAAACTTCTTTTCCGGAACATGATCTGTTGTACCATGGTGAGAAGATGGATTGTGTTTCCTTTCTAAATGAAACAAATGAAGGGAACGTAAATGCAAAACCTTTTCAGATTGAAAGTCAAACTATAACTACAGATAATAAAACAGCACTTTCAACTAATCCCCACCAGCAAAACCTTACTATTTCATTCTTGCACTTCTGAATAGACATTTATTATCATTCCATTATGCCTTTTTTCCCCCTTCTGAAGTTTGAAGAAAAAAAAAAATTCTGAACATTTTTCTTCCCTAATACTACTCAAGAAAAAATAAGGAAAAATAAAAGTGGACGTGTTTTTAAGTCTCAAATACTTACTCTCTACTGGAGTGTGAGAATGGGCATGATGGTTATTCACAGGCTGTGATGGTGTATCCAGCTCCAGAGACCCTAAGAGGGAGATAAAAAGGATAGGAAAATTTCAGAGTCCTCACTGGCATGATTTTGACTGTTAGATGCTAAATAAATCTTTATAATTTAACCAAATCATTATGCAGTTATATTTATTTTAATCAGAAGGATTTTTGCTACAGTTGAAACCCTTCCTGTAGTACAACCAGGAGCCAGTGAGAAGAACAGTTTAAAAATAAAAATTGGTGACTGCTGCTATTCAACTGTTGAAATCAGGGAAGTAAAATCAAGGCCAATAAGGAGAACAAACAACAACATTGCCCACAACATGCCACTTGTTCAAGTGAGTTACACACAAACTGGTGATGGTTGGAGAATGCTGCACCAAGAGTATTGACAATCTATACCAACATGAACTGAAAAGAAGATTGTAACAGGTAAACTGTATTGAGGCATCTTGTCCCACTGACTCAAAACACAAAAGCACTAGCAATGTCTTTAAAGATGGTTTAACACCCAACAGGAAGGGCTTCAGATCACTATCCAAATTTTCTTAGTATTCAAAACACACAGAGCAACAATCCAAAGAAAAAAAAGAAAAGGGAAAGGAGAGGGGAGGGGAGGGGGGGAGGAGAAAAGAGAAAAAAGAAAAAGAAAGAAAAGGAAAAAAGAGAAATAAGAACCAGAGAACAGAAACAAGAAAGGAAGGAAGAAGGAAGAAAAAAAGAAAAAACAGAAAAGAAAAAGAAAAAACAGAAAAAGAAAAAAAAAGAAAAAAAGAAAAAAAAAGAAAAAAGGGGTGGGCACAAATGCAAGTCTATGTCCAAGAATAACATTTATTGTAATTTGAGGCTAAATGATAGCAGCATAGGAGAGACTTTGACCATAAATTTCCATTAGAACAATATACAACAGTTTGTTTATCAATCTTTGGCAAAAAGATTTTGAATTAGCTGCAGTAATTACCAACTTATATTTATACAGAAGATAATTCAAGGAAATTATTCACATTCATTTTTCAAAATCTGTAGTTTCAACATCTCTTTTCCTCTTTTTCAGTGCTTTCAAAAAGTACCTGAGTGTATTACAAATTAAGTTTAAAGAAAATTATTCTAGAAGAGATTCAAAGCATAAGGAAATATTTTGCCCGAGCTAACATTAATCATGTTATGAACTAGTCCAAAGGCTGCCCTCTGGCGGAACCTCAACAATATGTCTTTACTCTGAAAGCTAAAAATGTTAAGTTTCTACTTTTCACTTTACTAAAAAAACCCCAAAAAACCTTAGAGGTGCAACATACAGCCTGGTCCATTTCTATTTTTAGTTCTTGAAAATCCACCTACTTCACCAAACGCACAGCTCAACTGAAGGTAGTGCTGGGATTCCAACTAAAATAAACTAGACCTTTTCTGTAGTTGCTAGTTCAGTAAAGTGCTTACTTTGCAGTTATGGGTTTCTGTCTCTTATTTGTAATAGCAATTACAACTCAAATACCCAAGAACTCCCAGCTTTTATGACAAAGCCACACAAAGTTCAAAGAAAGAATATTTATTCCTGATCTCCTCAAGTGATTTAGGTTACTTTTCATTGTCCCTGGGTATGAAGAACAGTCACTGCCTCTTAGCTCCATAATCACATGCGCTGGTTTTAGCTGGGATAGAGTTAATTTTTGTCATAGTAGCTCGTATGGGGCTGTGTTTTGGATTTGTGCTAAAAAAAAAAGCGTTGGTAATACAGAGATGTTTTCATTATTGCTAAGCAGTGCTTACACAGTCAAGGCCTTTTCTGCTTCTCACACCACCCCACCAGTGAGGAGGCTGGGGGTGCACAAGAAGCTGGGAGGGGACACAGCCAGGACAGCTGACCCCAAGTGACCAAAGGGATATTCCAGACCATATGACGTCATGCTCAGTATATAAAACTGGGGGAAGAAGGAAGGTGGGAACGTTCAGAGTGATGGCGTTTTGTCTTCCCAAGTCATCGTTAGGTGTGATGGAGCCCTGCTTCTCAGGAGATGGCTGAACACCTGCCTGCCCATGGGACATGGTGAATGGATTCCTTGTTTTGCTTTGCTTGTGTGCACAACTTTTGTTTTCCCTATTAAACTGTCTTCAGCTCAAACCATGAGTTTCCTCACTTGTACTCTTGTGATTCTCTCCCCATCCCATCGTGGGGGAGTGAACAAGCAGCTGTGTGGTGCTTAGCTGCCAGCTGGGGTTAAACCATGACATCACAGTAATAGAATCAACTTTGAAATTTAGCATAATCGCATTTGAACTTGATGTCTAAATCTTGATGCATACAGAAAGGCCAGATTCTTCTACACCAAGCTGGCCAAAAAGCTGACACATTACATTTTGTTCACATTCTGAATACTAGCATTGCTCTATTTGTTAAGCATGCAGGTTTCTTACCCAAAATGCTTCTCACTCACTACCCCATTACAAAACAACCATTCTCTCCCCTCTAAAGAAAAAAACTGAGTACGTAACTTTATTTGACATTCTATACTTATAACTAAAATAATGACCCTCCTCAATTTGATGTCAATCAATTCAAGTAAGAAATGGTATGCTTTCAACTGGGTAGGTGGCAAGCTTAGGGCTAAGTACTTGTCTGAATACCTACAGTCATTAAACAGGTTTAAAGAATTCTGTACCTTACTGTAGCAATTCACTAGTGCAACAGTTGTGCAAAAAAGCCCTATTCTAATTATGCAGTTATATTTTGACTTCATTGGTAAAAAATGGGGTTGAAACTAAAATTTGAGGACCACTGAAAAGTACGTGAGTCAAAACGCAATTTTGGAACAAGTGGAAATACTGAAGGCCTGTAACAAGTTTATGACAATTTGATTTTGCAAATTTACAGTAAATCTGTCAAGTTCTGAAAAAAAAAAAATCATGCATACTTACTTCTCTCTAATATTTCTGTAATTCCAGCATTATCTGCTTCAAGTTCCATTTTAAATTTAGCGAGTTCCTGGTCCAATTTTCTCAAATGACGGTCTACCTGTTTTTGAGACAAAGCAACAATAAGTAGCATCCAGTTCCGGAACATGAATATCTACATCCTTAATCTCAGGCTTGCTAAATATTTCCCTTCCAGCAGTTCTCTGCCATGCAGTACTAAGGATGTATAAAAATACACAGAAGCGCAACTTCTCGGTCAACCTACATTTCCCTAACTCAGCAGAGATGCTATATTAACACCAAAATAGCGCTGCTGCTCCTAAGCTGTACAGTCAATCAGAGGATACAATAAGGCTGCATATTAGTTCAGCAGCTAGAAGCCCTCCTCTTACAGTAGGCAATGTTCCAAGACACAATGTTAAGTGTTTCTTTTGAGAAAATGGATTAAAAGGACTTGGGGGTGTTGTGGGTATGGGTATAGAAAGCGGAAGAGAAAGAACAGTACATGGCATGCATTTTAGCAGATGTTGGGCTACAGGGGAAACTGCAAGTACACGGAATTGCTATTTGTATGCCACGACACACATCAGTAAGCCTAAGTATTGAGTAAAAGGGTCTCTCAACTGAAAATGTAGACTCCTGTGCGTTTGAGTAAAGCATTACATGCTCTTAGGTACTGAAAATGAGCTTAAAAAAATGTAGATGTAATATCATTGAAATAAACACTACATTCCAAATGCTTTCTTCATCTGTAGTCATAGGGCAGAACACTGTACCTATCTCTAAACTACCAAAAATTGAACAGGTTGTTACAGTTACCAGTTGAACTAACTTTTCGTTAGCTGAAGTGAAACTAATGCAGACAAGAAATATTTGTTTTGTATCTACTATATTTTAGTGCAGTCAGACTTGCAGGTTCTGTTCTCTGACAAAATGTAAAATAAATATACTTAAAATTCAAAACGCATATGCTATAAGGAAGAGTAACTTGCTCATGGTCTCTTTTCAGAAAGAAATGACTAAGACAAAAATCAACATGCATGAAAACCTTAGGATTTCTAGAATTATTTCTGTATGTTTTATATTTAAGTGACACCTACTACCCAAAGCAACAAAATTCTTAAAAGTCAATAAAATATTAAATGTTTCTTTCACCAGCAAAAATATCTATATGTAGCTGACGTAACAGCACAGGTGGGACAGTTGTAGTTCTTACCAAAATGTTTAGAACTCCTTTGGGCATAAATTTTGGTAATTCACCACAAGCCTTCTGTCTACTTACCAAATCATATATTTGATTAGCCAACTGCACTTTTTCATCTGCATCTTCCAAAGCCTTATAATAATCCTGTTATAAAGAGAATTTTTTTTAAATTATGAATGTCACTGAATTCATTTCAGTCATTTTAAGCTACTATTAATCAGCACAAAATTTAAGTTAAAAGAAATTAAAGCTGGAAACCCTGCTGTAAACAACAATCAGCTAAATTTTAGATGAGAGATTACATATCAAGGTATTGTTTGTGCCTTAGAAAAAGCCAAACTACAAGATGTGGACACTTCCTCCTAAAATGATATTCAGATTTCTGCAAGAAATGCTACAAGAACAGAAACAGTTTGGTATTTATTTTATATTACACAGCATAAGATTATGGAGATCTTATTAATGAGATTAATGAGATTATGTCTTTTACTTTGCATGGATCTTTATGACCATTGCAGATACTACTGCCATTCAAAATGATGCTAAACAGTAGTGTGAAGGGAGGCCTTTCCAGCACTGTAGTTAAGTAGAGACAATTATGTATATCATTTATAGCTTAAATTATTTTAAAACAGATTTATATAACTCATAAGTGTATTATAAAATAAACTGACTAAAGCAATCCGATTTTAAAATCTGCTCTAATGAAAATCCACAGACAAAACTTTTTTTTTAGCTATGTTTATACATTATTTTACTCTATAATTAAAGTTTAAGGGCCTTTTAATTCTCAATTTCCACTGAAGAGTATCTTGCTTATGCAAAAACTACTTGAAATTTTAGTCCAACTGAAGTGAAAAGCAAATTTTTCATTTACCCTAGTGAAGTCAGAGCTCTGACTTTTTCTTTTTTAAATACAGAAATCTATTTGTGTTAACTAAGAAAAAAACCCAACTCTTTGCCAAATAAGGGGCTGAAGTAGCAAGTGTAGGAGACTAGAAAGGAGTTTCTCCTGACAGAATGATGCACTACCTTGCTAACAATACCATGACCAATGCCCAAGTATTGAAGGATAAAACAAAACACATCCATCTTCTTATTCCTCTCTCCCTAAAGCTACATATACCATATGTATAACATATACAAGGACATGGGCAGAATCACAGGAAATGCTGAAGCTAAGCTTGAAAAATAAAAAAAAAAAATTTTTTTAAATTTTAACAAATTTAAAATTTTTTTTAAATATTTGAAAATATTTTTTATTTTCTAAAAGAAAGCCAATTAACTTACGCAGCTTCATGTCACAGAAGCAGAAACAGAAAGTCTGAGCTGAAAATTTAGTACCTGGTTTCCTCACCATTTTGGGATCATAATTTTTAAGATGCTAGGAAATACTGGGTAAAACTGGAGAGACATGCTCAATCAAAGAAACCTTTCAGTCATTCTTCTCTTCCTAGGTAGTTCTATCCATCTCTGTGAAAGCCCAAGGAAGTCACAGTTCTGAACACTTAAGTCTCCATCAATCATAAGCTATTTTTTCCTAAGGTTATCTTCATTTCCAAAAGAAAAATGTGACCCACTCCTGTAGTACCCTTACTTTTTTGATTGATGTCATTTGTTCTTCTCTCCATTCAGGTTTGTTTTTCTTTGCATTCATAAAAAATTCATTTACCCTCTGCTCAAGCTGATCCATTGCATCTGTAGCACAGGAAAAAGAGTAAGATAAATATTATCTTCTCATGTATATAAACTTTAAGAAATAAGGCGGATTTTTTTTCCTAAACAAAGTTGACAGGACTGAGGTGCAAACTATTAGAGAGGCAATAAAACAAAAAACCCAAAACAACCAAGTTACAGTGGACAGAGGAGGGAAATATTTACCTTAATTTCCAAGAAGCAGAATTGCATTCTGGTAGAATTCTCATCAAGGTTCTTGTGCTCTCCAGCATGGGACAGGCAGGACTCCAAGTTCTAAAGGTTTTTTGTCCCTAAGAGCAGTGGTAGTGACTTAAAGCACGACCCAAACTCCTCACCCAGGGCTCTAGACAGCTGACTTTGGAACATTCTAGCCAGTTACAAACTGAGCAGGAAACAAAATATTCTCCTAAGAGAAACAGTCAAATACAAAACCAAATAATTGAAAAAAATTAGTGCCTCAAAAAGGTAGAGCAACTGAAGAGTCAAGTCACTGCCTTAAAGTCAAGGCCCTCTCCATTGTATGCTAGGAAGAGTGACAGCAAATTGCAAGCACTCACGAGGTTATTCCCCCCATCCCCACAGGGTAGCACTAAAGCATAAATGCACTGATGAAATACTATTTGGACAGGATTCTCACAAGAAATCTCAACTTCATCTAAGTAAGGGAAACAACGAAGCCATCAATTCTCTAACATTAACTATCATAAGAAAGCAAAATATTAACTACAAATTATTCATTTCACTATTTATTGAGACGGGAACAGGGATTCCCGTCCCTTTCCCTCCACCCTCCTTCAGAAAAAAAAAAAAAAAAAAAAAAGCAGAGAGTTTACTATTTCAACAGCTGGACACTTGTGCATGCAACAGCTTGCATACTTCCAAAACCATGCAGCTGCCTCAGTCAAACTAGCTTTGGCTAGTCTCATGTTAGTGCTGAGAATTTTTTCATAGCACTCTCAGCGATACTGTCCAGATAGCAGCTTCAAATTAAACGTGAGAGTGCACCAACTACCTACCACCACTAAAACCAGATCGCACAAAGGCCATCAACTCTTACCAAAAAACAAACAAAGAAACAGTGAATTAACTAGTTCAAGAAACTCATGAATCCAGAAGTATAATTAAGTCTTCAAATTCAATGGAGGCCAGAGGTTTTCTCATTCTGTGAAAATTCACAACTAGAACTGTCCACATAAGTAATCAAAAACTATTCATACTAAATGATCAGAAACATTAATTGATTTTCCCACCGGCATCAAAACCAACACGAACCTAACAACTGACAGGACAGAGCGCAATTAATCCCAAGCCAGAACAGTTGTGACGTAGGCTCACAACTTTATTTAGACCCAGGCAATCACAGCAGTCAAACAGGTTTAGTGTAAAACAAGTTAAAGATGGGAGAATCTGTACAATAAGCATTTTCCACCTGCACTGTGTTACTCCGGGAGATTAAGAAGCCTAAGTAGCAAGCAAGCAGCACACACTTCATGTGGAGGCTTCTAAAAGCTTTGTTCTTTGACCAGATGACTATAATTTGGTCCATAAAGACAAAAGACAAAATGTTCTATCTCCTATTCCCAGAGTGCAAACAGCTAGGTGAGAATTATTCTAATGGCTCCACAGACATGAAAAAAAAAACAACAACATTTTCCCCTTTTACTTTTTATTGAGGATACATATCAGTTTGTGTGAAACTGCATGATGGAAAATTTCCACAGAAACTTGGTCTCTCATGAAAGGGCAGAAACAGCAAAAGGGAATGCAGGTCAGATCTATTAAATGATATGAAAAGTTCTCCCTGGTACACTCAAGTTCCTTCACTTTTTCTCCCCCTCCACTTTTTTAATCCAACTGTGATACTATATGCTGAGATACTAATTTCTTAGATCACATTTCCCAAGAGAGTTGCCAGAAATTCTATTATAAGAGAGGCCTCTTCCCAGAGCTTTTACCATGGAGGCCTGATAATTCATAATTCGAAATTAAATAGAGAAATACATTTTACACTCTGTGTGGAGCTCAGTTAAAGCTCAAGATTCAAGTCACCACTCAGATGCTCTTCACTTTTTCCACAGCAGCCTCATCAGGACATACAGTAAATACAGCTGGATTATCATTTCTTCCAACACAAACAGCAGCACCTGCCCCACTAGAAGTCCATGTGGTCCAAATAGGACAGACTAAATAAATAAAGTCAGCATTGACTCTAAAACACAGCAGCACAGTTATCTCTGAATTACAACTCATGTAGGTGTCTAGGACAGCATCACTCATCAAAGTACTGTTTTCAAGTACTTCAGAGACACTGAATCTTCACAGCAAGTCACTATGTCACAGTATGAGAACAACCTCCAGGTTTGCACGTAGCATTCAGCAGGCAGTTTGGCAACTGATATTGAAGAGATGCTAGTCCAGAAGTTTCACGAATGGTCTTTGGATGCTTTGTCACTCATTGTGCAAGAATTGCAGAAGTACCAAGGTACAAGAAACTTTTTCTCTGGGCCTAAGATTGGTCTTAGTATACAACATTCAGTGTTATTTGCTACTTTCAGTAATACAATATGGAGTATTACTTGCCACTTCCAGTTAAAACAGAGGAAATGACACTACTGCAGCCTTGGCAGTGGCAGCTGGCTCAGTTCTGAAACACACTTCAAAAAAACTACTAGCTTCTTTGCCTCCCTACTAAATAGAAATAAAATTTGTGAACTTACTCAGAACCACCTAAGTCAGTGAGCTGCTCCCTTCCTCTCCTGGTGCTCCTCAGCGATAGTTACTTCAGAGATGTTATCTCCCACGAGGAGCCACTGCTCTGTTCCAACAACTTTAAGCACTGAACCCATGACAGCACTTAGGCCACAGGATACAAAAACATCCTACAGCCAGTTCAACACATGTCAATGAAGTCTGTTAAACAGACCTGCTAAAGTAAATATCCAAGGGAAATCCTGAGACCTCACTTCAAAGTATTACAGGTGAAACCATAGTTTTCAAGAACTGTGGTCCCACATAGCATTGCATTTTGTATTCCTGTTGTTTGTAATTCCATTCACTTGTTATTACAACCCTTGCTCTTTCTCTCCTTCAATAGTCTGACCCTTCTGTATTGATGAATCCTCTCATTTTTTGTGCCATAACAGTTTCATTAACAAAGACCTTGGCATCACAGTTATAGATGAAAATATTAATTGTGCGTTAAATGACAGCACCACCTAACTGGGACATGTTAAGTCCCAAGTAAGATTGCATTAGAAAAGATGAAAAGGAAATGCATCCTGAAAACAGCACAAGGCAGGATATTCTATCAGGATATAAGAAGAGGTATATGAAGTGATCTACAAAGAAACCTAAAACAGACTGTGTATTTGGTTACATGTCAGCTAGGGCACAAGAGGCTAAGCAAAAGGCACTTTCAGGTATGCTACTATGAGGGGAGCTGGCTGGGAAGTTTCAGAGACAGCAAGCTGCGACCTGCTGAGGGAGTGGGACATAACTCACGTTCCAAACCACCATCACTGCTCTTAGGGATCAAAAATCTAAAGAGTTTGGGACGTGCCACCGAAAATGCCTTTGGGAGCAGCACAAGCCCGGGAGCGAAACTCCTGCGCTCCTACTTGCGCCGAGGCTCGGCACCGGGCCGCGGGCGGGGGCCGGGGCGGGCGGCG